GAACGGAGTGAGCTGTATGGGAACAGTATGAGAAGGAGTGGGTACATGTCTGTGCGACTGACTCACTTGGCTGCACTGCAGAAAGTAACAGCATTGTAACCCGATGATATCCCAATTTAAAATTAATTTAAAATAATTTAAAATTTTTTTAATTAATAAATAAAAGTTAAAAGATTGGCGCCTGGCGTTGTTCCACAGGACTGAGTCTTCACTCCGTGGGATCTGACACTATCTCCAGGTTGACAGTGTTTGAGCATTGTTTGTTGGTGTGAGCGATCTCCCCCTCCATGTGTATTGAATTGGGTCTAGAACCTTTAATACAAAAGTCTTGGAAGTAAATCACTGTGTAATCACAACAACACAGAGATGTACAAAACTAAATGGAGAAAAGCCAGGAATTCGGCCAAGGTCTTGTTGATTCAAGGCCCTCTTAGGCATCAACCTCCTTCCAATAGGAAGAAGAAGGCCAGGATTGCTTCACACACTCTCCAAACATAAAACCGGGAATCGGATTTAAAGCTGGTCCTCATTTTTCCTGGAATCCCCAGTCCTGCAGTTTTCGTCAGCCCCACCAGAGAGCAACCTTTCTGTATTTATGCTCCTACTTGCAAAACACATGTGTCAGGCAAAGCACAGGCCTGACTCTCAAGTCTGAACGGAAGCGTTCATGACCCAAATAAATCCCCGGCTCTGCAAAACTTATCCCACTTTTAAACAGTCTAGGTAGATAATTTTGAAATGCTAACATGATAACTCATTGAGAAAAGCCTCCAAGATTTGGGGTGAGGGTATTCTTTGAATCGTGAAAGTGTCAGTCGCTCAGTCAAGTCCAACTCTTTGCAACATGGACTGTAGCCCTCCAGGCTCCTCTGTCCGTGGAATTCTCCAGTAGGAAACTGGAGTGGGTTGCCATTCTCTTCTCCCGGGGAATCTTCCTAACCCCGGGGATGGAACGCAGGTCTCCTTCATTGCAGGTGGATTCTTTGACTTCCAGCAGTAAACCAGACCCCAGGGATACTCGGGTGTAAGAACCCCACCATGGAGCTGTGGGCCCAAAAGTGCCCAAGTCAGGTTCTGGGAAGAGAGAACATTCACTGGGGCGAAGGACCTGCAGGAAGTTGTCTCTGGCTCCATGGCCCTGTCTTTTCCCAGCCTTGGGAAAGCTGAGCATCTCTCTGAGATCTCCCACACCAACGAGCAATGCTCTAACATGTCTACCTGGAGGTAGTATCAGATTCCACAGGACGAAGGCTCAGCCCTACAGAACGCCTCCCATCCCTACACGTCCAGATGCCAATCTTTTCATTTTTATTTATTTCTAACAATTGTATTTATTTTTAAATGCTTTGTACAAGGATGGTTCAGGGTCACGGCCACGGCCCTTGCGCCAAGCTAAGGCAGGGCCTGGGGCGTCTCAGGCTGTCCTCCTCCACTGGGCACAGAACCCCCACCGGGGCCAGTGGGCTGTGACGGGTGGCAGATCAGAGTAATAAAAGACACCCACACATACCTCCTTTAAATGCCTTACGTGCACTGCAGACTACGACCACCATCACAGAGGCTGCTAACAGTTGCATCACAGCAGGGTCGAAAATAAACATTTTCCCTTTATAACAACCAAACAACTAAAGCAACCAGTTAAAGCTCAAGAGATCCGCCCTCCACCTTCTCGGCTCCCACAGTGACTTTCCTTCCATGTTCCCACCCAGCAAGATAAAGGGCTGTTTGCTGACCCAAAGCCCTGCTAGCCTGTAAACTCTGTTTGTGGGTCACCATCTTTTTTTTTTTTTTACATTTATTTTTATTTATTTGGCTACATAAGAGTCTTAGTTGTAGCATGTGGGATCTAGTTCCCTAACCAGGGATCGAACCCAGCCCCCCTGTATCAGGAGCACAGAGTCTTAGCCACTGGACCACCAGGGAATTCCCGTGGGTCACCATCTTATCCCACTACCTGTCATAGGACCCAAGCCCAATATCTGAGGATAGAAAAATAATAGTGCTACAGATGCATCCTTCTTTAGGGCTGGGTCTTTGCACAACCATCATCCCCATCTCCCTTCTCTAGGAGAAAGAGTCAGCGGTTAATGTCGCCCAGGCCCATCCTGGAAATACAGAATATCTGGTTTTTCTTTTTTTCAACATGTATCTGTTTACTTGGCTGCATCAGGCCTCGGTTGCAACGTGCGGGATCTTTTTTGCATCACGTAGGACATTTCCTTGTGCTGCACGGACTCTCTTGTGTCGCTTGGGTTCAGGAGTCACTGCACGTGGGCGTCCGTTCCTCAGCACGCAGGGCCTTAGTTCCCCCACCAGGAATCGAACCTGGGTCCCCCACATTTCAAAGTGGATTCTTAACCACTGGACCACCTGGGAAATCCTTGTTTTTTTCTTTATCTAAAGCTGGTTTGTGAAAGTCTTTGAGAGCTAGAAATCATCTTCCAAATTCATTTCCTCTTTCAATCACTAAATAAATCTTCCCATAGTAACCCTATGAAGTGATGAGTAAGACACTGCTGGGAAAATTGGTATGTGTACAAAATAAAGAAACTTCCATTTATATATGATATGTGTGTGTGTACTCTGTGTGTGTGTGTGTATGTAATACAGCCAGAAGAGTCAAGAAAGGGAAAAACCCATCCACCAACCAAGTACATCCCTGTAGGTCATAATATGTAAAACTCCTTTATTGTTGAGGAATAGAGAGAGACATCATATTTGTAGGACGCTACAGAAATTCCAGGGCAATCTGTAGTCAATGGTTACAGGGACTGGGGATGCTCACAAGGCAGTTTCTGCAGCAAGTGGGACAGAGAGAAGAAGGGGTCACAGCACAAGAGTGTTCCAGGGGTGGGGAGGAGGAAGGGAAACAGAAGCGTGTGCATCTAGGGGTGGGTGTCTTCATGATGTGGCCCAGGAGTCCAGGAATGGAGTGCTGAGGACCAAAAAAAAAGACCACATCACATCTCTGTCCTTAAAACTCCCACCAACCGCCCCCTGGGGAGGTGGGGGAGAAAGGGAGGGGCCTCTGGAAGGGAGCAGTAGGGAGAATGGAAGCCTCAGCCCTCAGCTCTCCACGTAGCCTTTGAACTAGAGGCTTGAGAAACCTCCCAGCTACAGCTGCTTGCGTCTTCCCAGCTGCCATATGCTTCGCACTATCCCCTGATAGACCCTGTGTGCGTGGCCTGAGGGGCCCACACAGAAAGACTTAGTGGCAAAGTTCACATCATCCTGGCATCCCTATGAGCCGGGCATACACACAGCCCTGTCCAATGCACCTTGGAGCTAATGCTCCCCTGGCCTCACCCCGTCCCTCCTCCTCTTTCCAGAAACCTCCCCGAGGAAGGACAGGTCCAGGGATCACTTCCTTTTTCAGCAGTTTCACATGAATGAAATTAGGCCGCACGATGATCTGTGTTGATCCATCTCATCTAATCTTTACATGCCAGCCCCCAGGGGCCTTGAGTTTATACTCCCCAGTACTTAACAGGTTCAAAATGCGCCATCTGTGGTGAGATTACGAGGGTGGCAATTATGAGCCCGGTCCCTCCGAAAAAGCCTAGATTCACCAGAAAGCATTAAAAGTAGATTTCTATAATGCGCTTGTTTCTGCCATTTGTATAAAATACTATGGCAAAATTGCACTGTAATTATCTTTACGGCCGATGCATAACGTTGGGGAGAGTATGTCATCCAGATATAGCTGCCCGTGTAATTATCTGGCCGTCGGCAAGACTGAAATAACAATCTAATGAGAGCAAAATGATACAGTAAGTAGCATGTAATCAGCAAGTTATGGTTATTACAGCTTTTTGTGCCCCCTCGCCCAACACTGAATCGGGGGCACAGTCATGACTCTGGGCCCGGGAGTCATGCTCCGGCAGTTTCATTGAGAGCCAGCTCCTGGTCCTTGGGTCTCCCTTGAGACCAGTGAGAGGGGGTAACAGGACCGCAGGGGGAGGGGCAGGAGTCTCCAGGAAGACAGAAGCTTCCTGACCCCTCTCTGCCTCCCCCGACACCTTTCTCGGGAAGACAGTGCAAAGAAAACCATCCGTGAGCTGCTATTGCTGCAGGTGGGAAGCTGGTGTTAAGGCAGATGGTTCCGCATTTCGACAAGACACTCCCCCCGGGGGGACTCACATCCGCACACCAAGTGGAAGAACTGTCAGCCCACTCAGGCCTAGGGTCCAGCCCAGACAGCTTCAGAGAGACAGACCACAGGCCACCGAGGCAACACTGGGGACTTCCCTACACCTCCCAGGCGGCGACAGTTACAGTGAAGCCAAGGCACAGCGCTGTGTGCCAGGCGCGGCTCTGAACGCTTGACCCAGACGCCAAGCAACAGCCCTGTGAGACAGTATTACCATCCCCGCTCTTCAGAGGAGGAAACAGAGGCACAGAAGGATTATGTAACCTGGCCACGGGACACAGCCAGTGAGTGACAGATCCAGGATTCAAACTCAGGCCACGTTCTTATTCATTACTCTACACAGAGCCATTGCGATACTCTATGGTGGACCCAGCAACCCAAGATTCAGGATGATCTGGACAGTTTCAGCCTCCATGGGAAGCAAAATGCTTCACGTGCAAATAAATGTGTACCTATAATTATCCAATAATGATCTCTCCATCTTTTGCACAAATCACAAGAGCATAGAGTACAAACAACAGAAGTTGCCCATCCAAGAAACCCCAGGGGAAAACCTCCCTTTGCTAAATCCCCCCACTCACTCCTGCTCAATTGTAAGCTGGGATCAATGAGGCTGGAAAGAGATGAGAAAGAGGGGTGTGTGTGTGTGTTTATGTGTTTTTCTGTGTGCACACGCGCGTGTGTGTGCGGTCACAGACAGGCACACACTTCTCAGTATCGGGATATATTTAGGGCGTTAATTATGAGCATTAATGACCATAGCATCAGAGGAAATGATCCTCTGGAAACGCCCCTCCTACCCCGCCGCATACCCACAACCCCCTCTCCTCGCCCTGAGTAAGTTCTTACCTCATTCCACACTGCGGGGGTACTTGAAGGTGCCAAAGCTGGGGATGTTTTCTTGGTTCATATCAACAGGAGTGTCTGGAGGGATGTAAAGGATGTAGTTAGGAGGGATTTTTCTGACTATGACCTTCACCCTAACCCAAAAGCAAAGGGCAGGATATGCAGGACAGCTCTGGAAGGCAGAGTTAGGAAGAAGAGGGACTCTCTGTCTGGGAAACGGGGGAGGGGGCAAGCAAGCCTCTCTGACCCTATCCCAACTGCAGCAGGACCTTCTTAGAAAGGTCTCCCTGCTTTGCTCCTGGGGAGGGCTGGACTGTGGGTCCAAGCTGATTGAGCAGAAGGGGTGGAGGGGCCCTCGCTGAAGCTAGGAAAAGCCCTGTCTTCCCTGCTGCTGACAGACATGACGTAGCCTCCTGCTACGACTTTGCAGCACCCTAGCCTTCCCCCTTGCTCCTACCTGCCTGGAGGTTCCTCTTGCCCATGAGACCCACAAAGAAGTCATGCATGTCACCTGCAGGAAAAGGGCCAACACGGTCAGCCATCACGATGAGGGGCGGATACATTTCCCCAGACAGGCGTCCAGACTTCTGAGGCTGGCTCTGGTCCCTGTTCCTGCATCTCTCCACAGCTTGTCCCCCCCCATGGTGAGCAGGCTGTCCCCTTAGCCCAGCCTCTCCGTCTACCTCCCTCTCCCCCATCTTTCAAGAATTCTCTAAAATTCTCCCCCCCAGCAGGTGCCTGATTTAGAATCTTCAGAGCCACCAAGAGATCCTCCTGACTTGCACTACCGCGCCTGGGGAGGAAGACCTCACCAGGCCGCTCACACCTGCCTCCTCTGGCGCCCAGGGGCCGCTCACGCTCTGCAGAGGCTGACTGAACATGTGCAGCTAGGACGCTGTTTGCACCCGTGGAACTGGGGCCAGCCAAGATTGTCACCGGGCCCCGCGCCCATGGAGCGCCGGGCAAGTGGGCAGCAGAGATCGGGAGGGAGAGGGGGCTACTCACGCTTCTGGGGAAGTGGTGACTCCTTTGGACCTGTGAAGCAAGAAGAAGCATGTAACTGGGGAATGGGATCTTCAAAGAGACGATTGGACGGGGCTCAGATCACAACCCTCAATCAGTCACGAAGCCATCTCCAGTCTCCTTCCCTCCTGGAGGGTGTCCCAGGCCTATTTAATCTTCAGAATCCTGCCCCCCAAACCCCTCTCCCTGGGGCTGTGTCCTACCTACGCTGGCCTTGCTCAGCATCTTGAGCAATCCATCCAGGGAGACCACGTGGCTATCATAGAGTCTCCGGAGCAATGATGGGGGCAGCTGGTAGAGATTTGAGTCCTTCTGGGGGAGAGAGAAAAAGAGGGCCAAGGAGGAGGCTCACCCCCAGTCCTCTCACTCTTTTCCCACAAGAAATGTCCTCTTCCCGAGCTCATCACAGCTGAACCTGACATCCTGTTTCTTTCCGGATTTCCTCTGGTTCACACTAGAAGAGAAGTGGGCTCTCAAATTGTGGTCTGTGGACTAGCAGCATCACCGCTGGGAGTTTGTTAAAAGTACCTAATCTTGGTCCTATACCAGACCAACTGAGACAGAATCTGAGTCTTAAGCAGGCTCCCAGGTGATTCATAGACACAGCAAGATTTGGGAGGCGCGTGTAGAGGGAACACATTGGGTGTGCCTGAGGCCGACCAACTGTCCCAGTTCGCCCGGGTATGTGGGGTTCTCAGTGCTCACGCTGGGTCAGTCCCGGGAAAAGCAGGACAGCTGGCCATGCTGTCGCCCAGGCTCAAAGGGGACAGGCTCCTGGGGCCCCTCCCAGCTCCTGCCAGCTCTCTGTGAAAAGGGCCTTTGGTTCTTTTCACCCTGGCACATCTGGAACTGGTCTGACCAAGGATATGGTTGCCCCACCAATCGAGTGAGCCAGGAATTTCCGAGGATGGTTCGTCAGACAGAGCTAGTATCCTCTGGTCTGTGCTCTGTGACTGAGCCACAGACAGGACTTGGTCCTGGGGACAGGGGGGTGTAGGCAACGGGGGCCACCAGCCATCCTGGAATCGCCCCTCTCTCCACTGAGCCCTGGGTGTTTCTCTCCCTCTGCTTCCTACCGCCTCTCCCTCTCTTTCCTTTTCCATTGGTTTCCACTGTGGTTTTCTCTCTCCCCGCTCCCCCCGCCCCAGATTTAGAATTTCAGAAGGCAGCATGCTCAGAATGAGGCCTCTTCTTCTCCACAACTGAACCCCATTGTAGTGCCACTGCTAAGCAGTGGTTCTTAATCATCTTGGTGGTTTCACACATGCCAACCTGGCTGCCCAGGCACACACACATCCTACCCCCGTCTCGTCCCAATTTCTCTCATCCTCATGGACCTGTAGGGAGAAGGGGCAGGAAGGCAACCTCTCTTTTACTGGACAAGAGGGGCAAGGTTGCAAAGCACAGCTGTCTCAGAGTAACAGACACAGATATTCCGTCTCCAGCTGGAACTTTGGCTCCAAACACAGTGTCCAGCATTTGGCACTTGCTCTGTGTTTTTTGAACTGGTTCTGGTCTTTTGGAGCTGGTGCAGCAGCCACCACCTGCAAGGTTGCCAGCCCATCATGCCTTGGGACACCCCACCACCTGGACAAAAGCTGATGATGTCTCTCTTTGCCCAGCCCACAGCTTCCCACGCAACCACTTCACCAAATTGTTCAAATACTCTGCGCACCTCCTGTAATGAGATGCTAAACAGATCCAAGCTGGAGAGGCAGTTAGACTTCACACGCTGAATTTGTAATAAGTTCCACCTGTAATCATCTTAAAAGCACTCGTACCAATGTAATTGCAATCTTTTCAAAACGCTGAAAAGACTTCCTCCTTGTTCTCCCCCAGGACCCCTCTTCTAACAACCCCTATTCTTTTTCTTAGAGGAACTTCAGAAATTGGGGCCCAACTTGTTTTGTGGTTTTTTGTTTCCTATCCTGACTTAGCAGAGGCTAGAGGAGGATGTGGGACAGGAGGAAAGAAAGGCTTGGGATCTTAGGAGCCCCTGAGATTACTGGGGGGTGGAAGAGCAGGGGATAAGGGAATTCATGTGAATTTTTAAAACCACATAATACATAAGACTGACAGGTAACAAAGAATACAAACGACTATTTGGGAGAGAAATTCTGACTGTTTCATACCATCCAGGGAGTGGGGAAGATCTGCCCCCTGCAAAGGGAAAGAACCTGAGCCGGACTCAGGGAACATGTGACCACCTTATCCAGCGCCATCCGCTCACCAGGTCACCCGACAATCAGACAAACACCGTACCAGCGGGGCCGCTTTTACATACAAGGTGTCAAAGACACTCAAAGGGCCAGAGACTCAGACAGGCACACTGGGAGAACATGAGGCCCCCAGAGAGGCCGGGCAGTCCGGCTCTCTGGTGGATGATCCAAGTAACTCCCCACCCGCCCATCCCACCTTCCTCCCTACAGAGGTGGGACAGGCAGAGCGCGGCCCCATGATGGTGTCGGTATTCTGCCGGGGTGGGCAAACCAGAGGGGCAGCCTTACCTTGCTGAGACCCCCACCGGGCACCACCTGCTCCTGTGACTCCTCACAGACCGCACCAAGACTGCGAGCCGAGCTGAGGGCCAGGATGACTGCAAACAGCAGGGCGCTCCGCATGATGCCTAGGAGGGCAGAGAGACAGGATGGGGGAGGCGGGGAGCAGGAGGACACTACACAGGGGCAAACGCAGGAGGCATTCACCCCAGCCCCCGGCTGCCCCACCCCAGCCTTGGTCGGGGAGAGCCTCTGAGCTGGAGGGGCTCAGTACCACATGTTCCCCCTGTCTGCACCTGGCAAGAAGCGATGGCGCAATAATGCCGGGGGCTCCAGCTCCCAGGGGAGATAATGGACTGACGGCACCTGCACGGGTCTATCTCGTTCGTCAGCTGGAGGAGGGATCCCGAATGCTATTTTCCAGCCCTAGATACCCTAAGACTTAGGCCAAAACTTTCTAAATATTGGAAGAATCCGTCTGTACCCACAGGCTCCAGGCATCACTACATCAACCCCTATCGCCTCTTTCTGCTCACCTGCCCAGCAGCCCACTCCCTGATCAAAGGCTGCCACCTCTATCCCCTCCTGACTCTGCCCCTGTCCTCTGGTGCCAGCTCCCATCCATCCAGCATTCTCTGGCTTGTGCCTACCTGTGGAGCAGCTTGGAGCCTGGGACAGATGGTCTCGCGGGATCAGGGAGCTGGCTGGAAGCACTGTCTGCTCCCCACAAGCGCTGCCGGTGCTGCTGCTGTGAAGAGAGAAACGGAGTGGAGGGACTGGGGAATGTGGCAGGAACTCCGGCCCAGCTCCCTGATAAAGGCCCAGGGAGGGTCTGGGGGGGCCGGGGGAGGGGCTGAGGATCACCAATCCCAGGGTGGCTGGCAGGGCGGGAGGCTGGTGGGGTGAAGGGGGACACAGGCTGCAGACACGCGCGCGCATACACACACCCAGCAGTGAGCTGAGGCTATCCGGCAACTCACAGCCCAGCAGCCCTGGAGCTGGGCACACTAAGGATGACGCTGCTTATGCAGCTCAATAGATGAGGCCCCTGGGCTCTTTCTCCCCATGTCTACCCACCGGCTCTTTGCCCTTTAAACTTCCAGCCTCAACTGCCAGGCCAAACCAATTTCGGGCAGGTCCTTTTCTGGCCCTCCCCCCACCACCAACACCAGGATGAGCAGGATCCCATCCCGGAGGATTGGGAGGCGAGTCTGGCACCCCTCTAGTCTTCAGTGTCCCTCTGTCCTCCTCCCAGCTGGAGCTGACCCATCGCACTGGCCCTCAAACCTCTTAGGGTCAGCACTTCTCCCCAGTGGCTAGTGCAAAGCCTGCAGCATCTGCCTCCCTCCATCGCCTCCCCACGGCCAGTGCCCCTCCCCCGGGCCTCCCACCCCGTTTCTTGACCCCTGAATCAGCCTGACCTTGTTGCATCCTTCCAGGGTTCTCACTTCTATCCTTCCTGCTGTCATCTCTGAGAGGAGGAACAGAACGCCACGGCTAACTGTTCCCCTCTCCCCCGCTCCAGCACTGATCTCTTAATTGCTTCTTTTTCTCCTTCGTTACGTTTGTCCCCCACTCTGTCTCCATACAACTCAGGCATCTTCTCCCCTGAACTTTCAAGCCTCTAGTTCATGCCCCACAGTTGAGAGGCTTCACTGTGCTCACTTCAGCCCCCCGAGGTAAGAAAGCCCGAGGGGCGGGTCAGAGTCAGGCTCTGAGACAGACCCGGAGAGAAAGAATGCCGCAGTAAGAGACGGGGGGGGGGGAGTGAACGCCAGCTTCAGAGCAGTCACCGTCAGTGTTTATTTATAATGGAGGAAGAATTTGAACATTTGCAAGGTACTTCGGCAGGGAGCTTCAACTGATTCTCATCACCTCCACGGTGTGAGCGGGAAACATTCCTATATTCAGACGCGGGAACTGAGGCTCAGAAAGTTCAGCCACACGGGTCGGGACAGGTAGCTCCTGGAGAACAGCCTCAAATCCAGGCCTTTCTCCTCCCAACCTCCTCTTCATTGTACTGCGCTGGTCTGTACTTTGACCAGCAAGGGGAGAGTTAGGTCCCCCAGAGGGGTGGGGGTCCACCTCCCCAAAAGACCTAGAGATGGGGACCGGGTATTCTTCTACATCTTGGGATTTGGAAGAGAATCATAGCTCTGGTGCATATTTATTACAACGGGTCCTGCTCACCAGCACCTTTCCCAATCACCCTGTTTAAAGTTGCTGCCACTAGGGCAGTCCAGTGGTTACGACTCCGAGCTCCCAATACAGGAGCACAGGTTCAGTCCCCGGTTGGGAAACCAAGGTCCCACATCCCTCTCGGCTTAGCCAGAAAAGATTTTTAATAGAATTACTACCACTCCATTCTCCATATCGCCTCATTTCTTTTCTTCATACATTACATCAAACACACTACAACTTTACTTATAAAGTCTGTCGACCTCACCTCCCACCAGAATGTCAGCTTAACAAAAGCAAGGACTTTTCATCTGTTTGCTATCGGATTCCTAGCTCTATCGTGTTTGGCATATAATAGGTGCTCAATAAAAATTTATTTATAAAACAAAAAAGGTAGCCTGAGTCCAGCTTCTCACGTTGCCGCCCACAGTGTGGATCTCCCACAAAGCCTCTCGAGCGTTGCTAGAGTCCTGAAATGTTTCTTTCCCCAGCCCACCCACCCTCGGGCTTGGGCCGCACTAAGAAGTCATTCTGGCTGCACGGGACTCCAGGTTCATCCCCAGGTGAGGGCAGCAGCTAGGTATTGTTCCTGCGTGCTCATTCACTCAGTGACCGACTCTTTGGGACCCCATGGAATTACATGAGAGGCACTGGGGCCTCATGCAATTACCCAGCTAATTACGTGGCTCTCTGGGGAAGCCGTGGCCCCGGACTCAGGGCTGGGACAAAGGGCAGAAGGGGAAGGCTGTCCGCATGTAAGTAATGTGACTGCTCACGCCTTTGAGAAGTCCAGATGCTGTTTGTAATGGGACCTGGACATCTCCCACCTCCTCCCCTCCTCTCCTCTCACCAATCTGGAAAAGGAGGTCCAGGCCATACAGGCTGGAGGGAATTAGGGGTGCAGGAGGAAGAAGACATCAGATGAGGGCCAAGGACTAAAGCCTCCTGGATCCCATCTCTATGTCAACCTCCTGCCCCCCCACCCCACTCAACCCTGCCCCCACGCCCCGGTTCCAGGGAAGCAGGGCTACAGCAAAGGTCCAGCACGATCAATGTCCTTTGATGATAAAAGGCATCTCACAGGACGGCGGGAGCCAAAGATGGGGCGGGGGCAAGGGAACGGCAGGGAGAATGGACCACCCCTTGATCTCTGGGATTAGCGAAGACTTGAAAGAGCTGGTGCTAAATCAGAGAGGTGATGAAGGAGGGAGGCAAGGACAGGCTGGGCTTCACTTTGCCCACAGATCATATGCAAATAGCATGTAAAGCAGGCACTGCAGCTACAAAGCTGCTGGGTGTTTCTTCCTTTGAACACTTGTGACTTGAGCCACATCTCAGACACTGTCACTGGCCTAGAGGAGCAGAATCCCTAGAAGGACCCCCTCTGGGACCCGCCCCTCCCTTTGCTGATTCAGGTTGGCGGTGAGGCCAGGTAATGGGGGAGCAGGTCAGTCCATCCCAGGGGTCGAGGTGGAGCATGTGCTTGCGCACGAGACGGCCTGTGTCTGTCCAGCACATGCACAGCTTGCGGGGCAGCACGTGGACCCCTTCAACGTCCTAGAGGGGTGCTGCCGGATGCTGTGGGAGGGGCCAGAGCCACAGGTGACACGGGGTGGAGAGATACCGGAGAGGAATGGGAGGATGCCAACCCCATGGCCTGGACACAGCTGGGAGACAACCTGCAGCACGAGGAATAGGAGCCCCTTGGAGCCTGGGGCAGAAGGGGGCTGAGCCTGGAGGGCTGGGCGAGAGCTGGTTTGTGCCGTGAGACAGCAGAATGACTCCTCGCTGCAGTTAGGGGGTGCTGGGATGACTTGTGCCTATCAGAGGCTCAAACAGCCAAGACTGAGAGAGTTGGACGGGTGACGGGGAGCGGGAGGCAGAACTTCAGCTTCTCCAACCGTGATGGAGCCACTTCAAGCCCCATGACAAGGGTAGGGAAACAGCCGCTATGGCCTTCAGGGGATGGGAACACAAGCTCTTGAATTCCAGAAGAGAAGCAGAGACAGGAAAGAGGAGGGGGGAGGGAGAGGTGGGAGAGTAAAGGAGAGAGGATCCCCACGCACCTTCCTCAGCCTAGCATCCACCCACATGACTGAGGGGGAGGGCAGGAAGGGGGTCAGGAGCCCTGCCCCCTCCCCCTCGCCCCATCCCCAGCCTGGAGAGCTGACAGTGCCTTCAGCCCTGGGAAAGGGAAAGCAGCAGAGGGAGCAGCAGCTGCAGATTCTCCTGGAATCGCTTCTGAAAATGACCAGACACTTCACTGGGAAAGTGACGACAATTTGGGCCCTGGGAGCAGGAGATGAGGTGGAGAGCCAGGGCAGGCAGGCTCTGGTCACCGCCCCCTCTCGGCCTGACTCCGAGAGGTTGGGGTGGCAGAAGGGTGGCCAGAGCCCCAGCTCAGGACAGAGCCCCCCTACCCACGGCAGCTCTAGACCCTCACCCACGGGGAAGAGCTGCCTCCCGGGGTCCTATGTCAGCTCAGGGCAGGGTGTGCCAGGACTCAGGGCTGGCTTGTGCCCTGAGAGCTAGATTCGTCTGCAGGCCAGACGAGGAGTTAATCAGGTCTCCCGCCAGCATGATCACCTGGGGCGTGAGCTGCCTGCCGATGGAAGCTGAGGTGGAGGGAGACCCGTCCTCAAGGCACTGTGAGCTCAGCAGAGACAGGGAAGAAGCAGGGAAGGCAAAGACCGTGGAAGGAGGCAGAGCCGCCCGGACAGAAACAAAGGCAGCCATTTTTGTGCTCTCGTGAGCGATCTACCCCTGACTGCAGACAAAGGAGGTGCCTGTTCCCTAGAGGTAGACAGCAGAGCAGAGAGGCTGAGATGGTGCAGCATCCACGACGGAGCAGATACAGAGGGAGGGGGGACGTCTAAAGCATGATACGAAACCTCACGTGTTAACATCAGTCAGAGCCCACGGAACCGGGGACAGTGAGGTGGCGT